GGGGGCTTAAGTGGAGAGCAAATGTTTTGAGAATGACGAAAGCAATGAATATACAAATGTGCTTTACACAATTGATGTATGTATGGATTGTGATGAGTCGTATGAGCCCCTAATAAGAAGATTTAAAAAAAGAAAGAAAAGAAAGAAGGGGGTTGGGGAAAATAGAGAGCTAATAACAAAGAGTACAAGAAAGAGGAAAATGCTCTAAAATTAATTGTAATGATTATACAAATTTTAACATGATTGAACTATTGAATTATATGATAATTTTGGATTGTGTTCTGGTAAAACTTTTTTTTAAAAAGGAAGAAAGTAAGGTGTAATGAAATGTGTAAAAACTTGTAGTTAGCCAAAAGAGAATAACATGCTCAGCATTTCTCAAACTAAAATAATGGAAGACAAAATTCAAGCCTTGGATTGCAATACTGAAGGATTCTGTGGACAAAATATTGAATGGTACAGGAAGAATCAAAAGTTGATGGGAGTAATACCGAGCCACTGAACCAAAAAGAATTGGTCAACTTTCAGTCATTTCAGGAGGTAGGAAGAAGTGTAAGGTGGGCTGAAGGTACTGATGAAAAATAAAGCTCCAGATATTGATCGAACACCAAACGAGACGTGTGAACAGCAAACACTAAAAGCCCACACTCCTTTGTGCCAAGAAATTAGAAGGACAGCCACCTGGTCAACCCACTGAAATATATCCATGTTTGTGTCCTTCAACAGAATATGGGTATTACCCAACAGAGACTACCAGAAAGATATTTACCTCTAATTCATTCATTACACAAAGGAATTTGACTATATCATAACAATTTATGGATAACATATAGTTAAGAGGGTTTAAACCAAAGCTAACTAACTCTCTGCCATCGAGTCAATGCCGACTCACAACAACCCTATAGGCCAGGGTAGAACTGTCACTCTTTACAGGAGTAGAAAGCCCCTGCTTTCTCCTATAGAGCAGCTGGTGGTTTCGAACTGCTGTCCTTACAGTTAGCAGCCCAATGAGTTACCACTATTTTACCAGGGCTTCTCAATAAGAGTTTTCCTAAATGTATGTATATATATTTAAGAATATATATCACATAAAATTGTGCCATATATACTCAGGTATAAGCTGAGTTTTTCAGCACATTTTTAATGCAGTTTTTGTGGTAAAATTAGGTGCCTTGGCTGATATTCGGGTCAGCTTATACTCGAGTATATACGGTAATTCTAGCCAAATATAAAGAAACATGGTTTGAGCCTTTGTAGCCTTATTGTTGTAAATAGGCAAGATCCATTGTGCACTTTAAAAGCATCAGAGTAACTCTCTGCACTCCAGTATATCTGCTTTGTACCAAGAAGACTTTTTGTTTAAAACATGATGAGTTAAGGCAATAATTTTGAGTATTTAGTAGGTGCCTTTCATAGAACATTAAGTGCTTCTACTTTTTATTTTTCTGATCCAAAAGAGAAGGAGTACACATAGTGTCCCCATTTTCAAATAAGAACCTTTTTTTCCTTTATAAAGACCACTCCTTATGACATTGGAACATACTGCGATTGATTCAATTACGACTCTGTTTCGAGTATAACTGCTGCCGAGGGGATTCTTAGCTGTAGTCTTTTGGGATAGGTCCTTGTGTAGCACAAATGGTTCACACTCAGCCCTTTGAACCCACATAGCAGTGCCATGAAATAAAAGGCTTGGCAGTCTGATTATAGCCAAAGGGGGACAACAGCGTAATATGAGCAAGGGAAAGAAAGACACCGGAAGGTGCACCAGAGTTCAAGTACATATCATTACATACACAATCCTACAATAACCATACCAAACAGTAATCTATAAGTAGAGAGGTAAACAAGCAAGCTGGAATCGGACAGCATATATCCCTGATATATATAGGTTTGACAGAGGATATTTCTACATACTGAGGGGACTTTTAAAATTTCATGGAAAATTTTCATTATCAGTTTATTGCATTCTCCCACGAAGTTTTTGAAGCCGTGTGTGCTGCAAATATAGTCATGTATGTAGTAGAGCAGAGAGGGGGACAAGTTATGAAAACTCTGCATAACCAAACACCATGAAGGAGTGAGTCACGGGCTTGGGAACTTAGCAGTAGAGTAATGGTGGATTTAGTCTAGATCAGCGTTCTACAGACTTCTTCAGTGAGTAGCAGCTGAGGTCTTAAAAGCTTGCAAGTGACTGTCTAAGATGCAACTTCTAGAACAACGAAAAGTAAATAAAATTAAGACTCTAGAATGAAAAAAAAATCATTTTGTCCAAAGGGCTAGTGGACCATATGAGCCACAGCTTCCCCAACCCTGATTCCAGAAGAATGAGACAGTGCCCAGCTGCCGTAGCTGACTCCTCTTATCAAGGTCATGATAGAAGGGCCAGGAAAGCGGGAAAGAAACATGCAGAACAGAATTCAAATTCCCAAAAAAGAGCGGACTTGATGGGTTGCTCAAGACTGGTGGGATCCCTGAGATGATGGACCTGGAACCACATCCACCCTAGGAGTCAGCTCGCCGCAGTCTGTGAAAGGAACAGTAGTGACCACTAAGAACGTGTTCCTCAGACCAACCAACCAGCTGAGACCAGTAGGGCAGCAAGAAGGAAGACCGTGCACAGCAAACCAAGGAGGAAGTGGGAAAGAGTGCTGCTGGTACATTGAGAGAATCGCAGTCATGAAACAATGTGTATAAGTTATTGATGGGAAAACTAATTTGCTCTTCAAAATTTCAAGTCACACACATACAAGTATAGCCAAAAAGCCCTACAAAGCAGTTCTGTTCAGTAACAAATAAGGTCCCAGGAGCTGAAATTGACTTGATGGCAACAGGGTTGGTTTTTAACCTTTAAGGAAGCATATCAGGCATTTCTTTTAAGGCGCTGTTTGATGGTTCACACAGTTTGATGGTTATACACTGATGGTTATACGCTGTCTGATGGTTATAAGCTGTCTGATGGTTATACGCTGCCTGGTGGTTATACGCTGTTTGACGGTTATACGCTGTCTGTTGGTTCATACTGCCAGTGTATAAGTTTGCAGCTAATTGAAAATGGCTTGCATCACACAGCCCACCGTCCTATAACATTAGGCTTTAATAAATGTTAAAAGTCATTTAAAATATAAGAAGTAACAATAATAATATTAATGATTCTCATGTCTAATATAGTAGAGCAGGTTTATTATCTAAAGTAATCTCATTTAATAATATAAAAACCATGTTACTGCTGTTGGATGCTGTCAACTTGGCTCTGACCCTTGGTGAGCCTGTGTCCACCAGAGTGAAACACTGCCCAGTCCGGTGCCATCGTCACACACATTGTTATGTTTGCGCCCATTGTTACAGCCACTATTTCAATTCCTCTTGCAGACCCTCTGACCAAGCACGTTGTCCTTTTCTAGGGACTAGTCTCATCTGACAACATGCCCAAAGCGTCATCCTCGCTTCTAAGGAGCGTTCTGGCTGTACTTCCTCCTAGACAGATTTGTGCTCTTTCTTCTGGTGGTTCATGGTATTTTCAATATCTTTCACCAATACCATAATTCAAATATATCCATCTTCTCCGAACGTGCATATTCATTACTCACCTTTCACGTGCAAATGAAGCAATTGAAAATACCATGACTTCCTGTCAGGACAGCTTACTTTTTAACATTTTAAAGAAGTCTGATGCTGCAGATTTGCCCAAAGTGGCATTTGATTTCTTGACTACTATTTCCGTAGGCTTTGATTGTGGATCCAAGTAAAATGTAATCGTTTGACAACTTCAATCTTTTCTCCATTTATCATGTTGTCTCTTGGTTAAGCTGTGAAGATTTTTGGTTTTTAACACTGACTTGTCATCCGTACTGAAGACTGTAGTCTTTGATCTTCACCAGTAAATGTTTCATGTCCTCTTCCCTTTCAGCAAGCAAATTCGTGTCCAATGCATCTCACAGTTTGTTGATGGCCTTCCTCCAATCCTGTTGCCTCCTCCTCTTTCATCATGTAGTCCAGCTTCTTGGATTATTTGCTCAGTACAAAGATTGAATTAGTGTGGTGAAAGGATCCAACCCAGACGCACACTTTCCCTGATTTTAAACCATAGTGCTCTTTTTATCCTTTAGTACCAAAGTTCCTTTATACATTGTCCTTGGCCAAAGTTAATTTTCATAAATGGATCATTGAATTGTTTCCTTGAGCACTGTATGGTCTCTCAACTTTTGTGCTTTTCACAAGTAAATATCACGTTGGTAATATGTTTAATGATCTTGTTATATAACTGATTATAGTATAACTTTATTGAAATGTGATTCATGTAAAGTATGTGGATCAAGCATGCTATTCCAAAAAGTACAGATTGTATTGTGCTTTGTTCCTTACCGTCATCATGAAATTTAAACCTTGGGGTATTTATTTCTCCAAAATGTAGTGATTCCAGCAACATATGAATAGGTTTTCTTATATCTGTTTCTGGAGAGAGTATCACCCAGATAAACAAATTTGGGTTTCAAAAATAATCACCACTTTGATGTAAATTATTGCTAGCTTTACCTAGGAAAAAAGAAAAAAAAGTAGTTTGAACCTAATCGAAAAAAGGAAGATGTGTTGAGTTTTAGGGCAGTTTTTCTTTCTTTTTTGGTCGTTTTATTAGGGTCATACAACTCTTATCACAATCCATACACACATCAATTGTGTAAAGCACATTTGTACATTCATTGCCCTCATCATTCTCAAAACATTTGCTCTCCACTTAAGCCCTCGGCATCAGGTCCTCATTTCTTTAGGGCAATTTTTCTTGTTTGTTTTTGAACTGTAAAGGCAGAAAACTGAGGAACAGAGAGGAAGACGGACATAACTGACAGGACAAAGGAGAGCAGAAACAGAAAATAGCTTTATTAGGGGTTAGGGGAGCTCCCGGATGAGGTTCCGTGACCTAGGCCTACAGGTCAGGGAAGTCGTGCTCAGCAGCTGGGGGTGAGGGTTTTTAAAGGGGTGGTGAGGAATGTATGGCAATTAGCATATGGGGTCTGGAAACTGGGAGAATTGCTTGTGGACTCCAGGAGGCTTTCTTTGAACCAGAAACATCAGGTTTCACCGGTTATCTTCTCTGGCTCCGACTGCTGCTGACCTCTGGGACATGTAGGGAAGCACGTGCAGGGCCGAATCTGCTTCAGCGTAGTCCAAACGGCGGCTGCCTAGTTCTGATCCGACCCAACATGAACTAAATGCAAAATAGTTATAAGACACACACACCCCCTTTTAAAAAGACATAAAATTGTACATAGTAGTTATCAAATTGTTTTTGTATGCATTGTGTAATTTCATCTATGGTTCAACTCCACTATTCCGTGTTTCAGTATATTCTTTTGGAATTGTACTACATTTTGATTTCTTTTCCCCGTTGCTTTCCATGTCTGTGTATTTCATTGCCATTTTCCATTTTGCAGATTACCCCACATCATCTCATTCTTCTGTCACTGTCTCCTCATCTACTTTTCTTGACGAAGAAGAATTCAGTGACTTTATGCAGGGGCCTGTTGAAGTTCCCCAATGTGGGCCTTCTTCCACTTTTCAGTCTTTCCACCCCACCACCCCAGGGGGCCAGTTGCATACACAGAAGGCTGGGCCACAGCCTCTCCCTCCAGGTCAGAATCCAGTGTCTCTTGCCTTATCTGGTATTCCTGGGCAAATTCCTTATTTCTCTACTGCTTCAGTCTAACACATTGTACAGAGAGCAGGTAACTCCTAGCATTGTTAATGAAAACATTCTTATGCAAATCTAAGAACATTTACTTCTGTTAAAAGAAATAACGTAGTGACATTGGTAAAGAATTATATGAGTATTTTTGAAAGGAACTAAAATAAAAGTCTAAAACTCTCAATTCTGAGGGCCTCATATTCCAGAAAAGTGATTTTAAACATTTGGTCCACGGTTAAGAACTTTTAAAAATACCTTGGAATTTTAAAGACAACCTGATTTCTTAAGGAGATTGCTCTTTTGTTTGGGAAAATCACAAATATCATTTTTTGAAGAATAATACGCCAAGGAAAACTTCTTTAGAATGTGTTTTGTTTTGATCTGGTTTCGTGACATTTCACTTGGGATCAGAAGTCAATTTGCCCCTGGGCGAGTCTTCCTCAGTTCTATCCTTTAAGCACTGACGTGAGCAGCAAGGCCTGGGGCTTGAACCCATAAGCCGCTCCGCTCTGTGGGAGAGCTATGTGGCGGCGATCTATTTCTGTAAGGATTGGCAGCCTTGTAAGCTCTGTAGGGCGGTTCTACCCTGTCCTGTAGCAAGGACAATGTTTTCTTTTGATTTTGTTGTTTTACGTTTGAGATTCACACACACACACACACACACACACACCTTGAGATAAGGAACCCAGGTGGCATAATGGATGCTGCATTAGGCTGCGAAATGCAAGGTCAGCAATTCCAGCCCACCACTGCTCTGAGGGAGGAAGGGGAGACTTGTGCTCTCCTAAAGATATATAGCCTCAGAAACCCCCGGGGCAGTTCTACTCTGTCCTGGAGGGTTCTGTGAGTCAGCATTGACTGCATGGCTCTGAGCTTGGGCTTGGATCTTGGGGTAGAGGCGAGTGTTAGGAGACGTGTACTTGATTCATACTCAGTCACCTGAGAGTTCTGACAACGTCCCAGAGATAAAGTTCCTGGCCGAGGTCTCCCGTGTAATTAGTAGAAGGGTCTTGACCTTTTGTAGGTCTTCAGATTTCTAAGTTCGTATTCTCCATCACACCTGTCTCCCTACTCCTTCGTAGGATTCTTGTGAATCAATGTAGATAATAGATGTTTATGTTCTCTGAAATCTCTTTGAAGTTCTATATGAATTGTTAGTACTTGAATGATACGCAAGTTTTTAACGTGACAGGACCTCCCCTGTAAGCATATGGGGGTGGAATGGGCAATTGAAAAGAAATAGGCAGTTATATACCAATAATTCTTCGTGCTGTTTGTTTAGGCCCTTCCTTGGAGGAGAAACTCCTAGTATCTTGTGACATGAGCACATCTGGGCAGGAGCAAATTAAACTAAGTACTTCTGAAGGGGGGCACAAAGCCCTTGGCCCAGCTTCCAGTCAGAGCCATCCCAGGTTAACGGCCAGGAGCAGGGGTGCTGTAGATGGACGTGTAAGTGGTGCCACCACAGCAGAAGCAGAAAAGACTTCAGACCAAAACCTGGCCATTGAAGAGAGTGGTGAGCTCATGAAACATTCAGAAAAAAAAAAAAAAAATTGTTTAACCAAACGTTGCTTAAATGCTAACATCTTAAGCATTAATCTTAAAGTGAATGCTGCTTGATTTTGCTAGTTGAAATCTTGCTTAAAGTAAATCTAATGCATCCCTTTCTCTAATTAACCACTAAGATTTTGCTCTGAATTCTTTCAACACACTCTTAATGCCTTTTTAAAAAGTGATCTCAATAACCAATTTTCTTAATCAAAATCATTCCTGTTTTTAAATTCCCTTTCCTCTTATTTTGCAAAAAATCTTTTTCCCCTCCTTTACAATTTCTGTGCTTCCAGAAAGATTGAGAAGTTAAAATCACAGCTGAAAAAGTCACCAATGAGAAGATAGTTTTGCTTTCCCTGAAATAAATCCTATGCACTACTGTCTAAACAATCCAAACATTGTCAATTCTGCTCACAGACAACTATTCAAATCTAGGCAGCCCAGGAGACAAACTGTTAGAAGACATCTTACTGGGCAAGAAATGATTGAATTGTGCTAAAACACAAGCAAAGTCAAAATCCATGTACGTCTTAGGCAGCACTTTTCATATTCAAATTAAAAAATCAACTTTTGTGAAGAAGTAGTATTAAATGGCATATGTAAAGCTTGGGGCAATTAAATTTTTTAGACATGTTTTTAACCTCCCACCTGTCTTTTGTTTCGTTAATTTATATTATACCCAAGATGGCACAGCCTCCTATGATTTGGAATATTGATTTGGTACCCTTTAGCTTTTTTAATATATTCTTGAGGACATAGTTAATATATAAGAGTTATGTAGAGAAGAAATATCGTAGCTGTATTGGTGACTTTTTTTTTTAAGTGTCTCCAGCCAGGGTTCTCCTGTATAAAAAAAAGATACTTGCTGTGATTGCCTGTCTTCCACAGAAGCAGTGCACACAGCAGAGATAACACCTCTTCTCTTGTAGGTGTGGGAGTATTTCCTCCACAGGACCCCATTCAGCAGAGAAGGCCTCCTTGGATTTACAATGAGAGTTTGGTTCCAGGTAAGAGTGTCTTTGCTCAGGATCCCTATTTGAATCATTTTGTTTTAGAGCTTGTAAATATAGTTGCGAGTGTTTCCTATTGTGGTTTAAAAATATACAGAAGGAATTGTAGCTTGTTTTCTTAAAAAAATATTTATGGAGTACAAAAAGTTCTATAAATTCAGTGTTTTCTCAGACTGCATCCTATAGAAAACACTATAAATGTAGTCAAATGTTTTGCTTTGATGTTTTACTGACCATCATATACTTGTATTTAAAGAAACCCTGGGGGCACTGGGGGCTGTTTATGGGAAGGTTAGCAGTTCAAATCTACCAGCTTCTTTGCCAGAAAAAGATGAGGCTTTTTGCTCCCCTAAAGTTCTACTCTGTTCTTTGGATCACCTTGAGTCAGAATCTACTTGATGACAGTAGTATGGACTTTTTTAATACTTTGATTTTTAAAAGCTTCTTTGGACTTGTCCATTAAAAGACATGAAATATTTCATACTTGTTAAATTATGTTAGTGTTTAATTAATTTAATTAGTTGCACTACGGTTTTAATAAATATTTGTTTTCTGAACTGTTATTCATTAGTTCCTATTGCTAAGATACTCTGACATCTTTGTCATGTGATGTTACATAGAGTATAAGACCAGGTGGCATCATTCTGCATTGGAAGGTGATGTTTACTTTTTTTCTTTATGTGATTACTATTTAGCAAAAAGAAAAAACAGTTCACTGAGGTGCACAATTTGTGATATTAATCAATTGAACATAAGGGAGTAGTTTATTTAAACCTAGGTTGATGTGCATAGGCTAATAACTATTATAACAGCATATGCATATTGTAACTTGCTTAATTTTCGTCAATCTCAAAACATTTTCATTAGATCTTCAATTTTCTATGTTGGCATGGACTAATCTTTCTCCTTTATAGTTGATTAAAGTAAACTTAACACAAGATTCCAGGGCTGGATTTCTATGGAAGGAAACCATTTCTTGTTTGTATCATAATCACATAAACAATTGGGACTTCAGTTATACATACATACAATAGTGTTTATTCTAATTGCCCATTACACAATTTCCCCCTTTCCTCCTCTTCTCTTGCCCTTAAACCAAATAGTAACAATTACAAAAATTGAGATCTTGAAGGGGGAACCGATTGCGATGATGGCAACATATGTACAAATATGTTTGGTATGTATGAAATGTTATAAGAGCTGTAAAAGCCCCCAATAAAATAATTTTTTAAAGCAATAAAATACAAACTCTTAATAAGTAGGGAAAAATTGAGATCTTGGTATGCTTTGGAGCTCTTGTCACTTTCTGCTGACTTGTATTTCTTCTAGACATACCTTCTAGCCATATATGTGTGCATACCTACTTTCTTACCAAAATACTTATTTTAATTGCCAGGCTCTTAATTTATAATTCTGAAAAATAAATAAGTAAATTTATAATTCTAGAAGTAAAATTTGTATGTTAAACATTTTTCCTTTGTCTCCCCAATTTCATCCCTAGTAGTTCCTCTAACTAGGGTTGTCAGATTTAGCAAATAAATAAACAAAGTGCCCTGTTAAGTTTGAATTTAAGGCAAACAACAAATAATTGCTGAATATAGGTGGGCCCGTGCAGTGTAGGTGCCCTTTACTTTACATAGCCACCTTCCTCAGTGGTCACTCCTGATATTCAGACATTTGTTGTGCTCCCTCATCTTACCTGAAAGTAGATCTTTCCCTGGAGGTTCTATTTCCATAGCACTCTCCCCAATGGTCTTTTCTCTCAGCCTCTGATCCATTGTGCTAGTGGTACAATTCTAGCTGCTTACTGCTGTTTTCAAGCTGTCCTTATCATTGTTACTTTCAGACTTCTCTTTTAAAGTACACAGTGTCAGCTTATACCGCCTACATCTATTGTCATTACAATCTTCTATGAATTAGAAGACTCTCTCTTACCTTCAGCCCTAAATCTTTATCTCCAGCACCAAATTCTGACCTCTCTTCTAAGCATTAGACTCTAATTTTCTGCTGGATATCTGGCAGTAGTTTGAACCTTGTGATGGCTTTGAATTAGAAATGTTCTAGTAAAGAAGTTTGATTGAAAGTTATTTTTGTATAGCAATGGTAGAAAAGATCAATCCTGTATAATGCATTTACATTTGTAATATGGTCTTTCTTTTAATAGATGCCTATAAGAAAATTTTAGAAACCACAATGACTCCAACTGGAATAGATACTGCTAAACTCTATCCCATTCTGATGTCATCTGGACTTCCCAGGGAAACTCTTGGACAGATATGGGCCTTAGCTAATCGAACGACACCTGGCAAACTTACTAAAGAAGAACTTTACACTGTTCTGGCTATGATAGCAGTAACACAGGTAGACAATGCTTCCCAGAGAGGGTGATGCTACCCACTAGGGGGCGCTAGAACCATCCAAGCGGGCTGCAAAATAGTTATCTCTAACTTTCTCCTGAATTATGGGCTATAGTACAAACGTTTTTATTGCCAGCAGGGGTGCCGAGTTGTTTCTTTGTTTTTGTTTTTCTGAAAGGGGGCAGTAGGCCAAGTAAATTTGGGAACCTATGAGTTAGATTGAGTAACTTTTCAATGTAAATTGAAAGACTATAGATTTCTTTTTTTTATTATAGCATTGTAGAATTCTTTACATTGAAACTCAGATCAACTTCAGGATACAGTACTGCTTGTATGATGTCCATACTAGCAAGGTTTCTTTTGTGTAAAGGCTGTGGAGTATGTTGACATTTTCTGGATGTTAGTAAAGTTAGCTGTGTCCCTTCAGAACTGGAGAACCAGTCTGGAGTGGGCAAAATTACTCCTTTTGACACCCTTGTTTTAAATTCCTTAGAACTCGATATGTATTCACAGTTTCCTCAGTTTTCCCATATTACAAAATTACTTTGAATGGTTTGAGTATGGTGAATTAACCAAAATTGCCAAAGAGGAAAATGTCAGAACTGATAAGGTGATGGCAATTTCTTTGCTAAGTATTACGTTTTACATTCAGTGTTCGTTTGAGGGATGGGCATGTGAACTTGTTAAGTTTGGGGAGAGAGTAGAAACATACTGGGACTCCAGGTTTAACATTTAGATCTCTGTGTTCCGGGGTTTGATTGTCTGTGGTTGGCAGTCACCCAGAATGTTTTCATTTCTCTCCTGTTCTTTGTAGAGAGGAGTTCCCACCATGAGTCCAGACACTATAAGCCAGTTTCCTTCGGCTCCTATTCCAACTTTAAGTGGCTTTCCTATGACTCTTACGGCCCCAGTGAGCCAGCCCACAACAGTGATGCCTTCGGGCCCTGCAGCCTCCATCCCTCTCAACCTGGGACAGCCAGTCATGGGCATTAACCTTGTTGGACCAATGGGTGGAGCTGCAGCCCAGCCTTCCGGTGGCTTCTTGCCAGCTTACCCAGCAAATCAGGTAAATGGAGAAGCTAGCTTTGCTAATTCCAAGTAATTCCTGAAAGTGAATCTGGACGTTTTCTCCAGGCCTACGTACAGAATATTGCTGGATTCTGATGGACACTTGAGATGAAAAAGTTTAATTTTATATTATTTTTAAAACATAAAGCTACTTCTTAAACCTTAAATTATTTGAATTTTAGCTAAAGATTTATAGTTTTAGCTAAAGATTTATAGTTTATAGTTCTTTCTAGTGAAGACATCTTAACCTTTAACTTCAACCTAATAAAATAAATGTTTGACTCTGCATTTTGAGGAAACTGCTAAACCTAAAGTTAAACTGCTGGTTTACTTTTCACTCCTCAGATTAGCAAAACTTGTTACACTGGGAGCCTTTATGACAGATTTATTTATGCAACCTTCTTGGAAGGTGGATTTGGCAATAGCTATCAAAATTTAAATGTCTTTGTCTTTTGGCCTAGCAGTCGCATTCTTAGGTATCTACTAGTAATTCAAATTAGCAGAGACAGGCAAGGAGATTTGTTGTAGCATTGCTTGTGAGAGTGAAATATTAGAAACAACTAAAAGTCGATCAGGAAAAAGATTAGATCAGTTGTGGTTCATACATACAGTGGTAAGCTATTGAGAGAGAGCCACACGTGCTGCATGGAAAGACGCCCATATTACATGACTGTGTTGGGTTTTTGTTTGTTTGTTTGTTTGTTTGTTTTTTCAAAATCATTTTATTTGGGGCTTTTTACAGCTCATATAACATTCCATACATCAAATTGTATCAAGCATGGTTGTACATATGTTGCCATCATCATTTTCTAAGCATTTACTTTCTATTTGAGCCCTTGGTATCAGCTCCTCTTTTTACTCTCCCTCCACCACTCCCACCCTCGTGGCCCTTTGATAAATTATAAATTATTATTGTTTTCATATCTTTCACTGACCACTGTCCCCCAACTATGTTGTTTTAAAGTGTAGAACAATATACTCATACGCTCAGGTTTCTTTACAACAAACTTGGTAATACAAAATGATCCGATTTCAGGATCAGTGGGTTTAGTCTTTTTGTTTAGTTTTTTGTTTGTTTCTTTATTTTTACAGTCTGGTTTGCCCAGTAACCCAATAAATGCAATTCAGCTATTTTTAAATTGCAAAGATTCATTCTTTAAACCAGAATTTACCATTTGTACCAGAGAGTACCTAAAAGATTTTTTCCCTTAAGGACTTACATCGATTGTATGTCTGAAGACTGTTCTTCTGAAATTAGGGAGCTGTAGCTAAGTTGGGGAATTTAGGGTGCGGTTCATGTGATTGACAGTGGGGTTTGTCGTAATCGGATGCTTTTCTGTTGAAATGTCCTCTCTCAACTTAGATGGTCAAGCCCGAAGAAGACGACTTCCAAGATTTTCAAGATGCTTCCAAGCCAGGGTCTCTTGATGACTCCTTCCGTGATTTCCAAGAGTTGTCTGCTTCTTCCCAAGCAAGCCGTCCCCAGCCGGGAAACAGGTAGGACAGAGTTGAACACATTAAACAGCGTCTTTAATAATAAAAAATAACAGCATCTACAATAAGAAGTAACTATGATTAAGAAAACTATTACTCCCTACTCTAATATTTTCCTGCCTGTATTCATATTTTTACTCTCCTAACTTCTCTCCCCTTTGTTTATCTTAAATGTCAGCTCCTGCAATTTCAACTCTATACACACCTGCATGCCAATTTTTATTTCTTTTGCCACTGCTAAATCTGATTTGTTATAGCTGAGTACATTATGTTGCTATGATGACTTCATGTCCTTATATAAGGCCCAGAGAGTTGACTGTGGACAAACTCTGTAGGCAAGGCACATATAATTTGATATTGTAGTGTAATAATGCAGTGTTGACTTCCCACAGAAATCATAATTGAGTAATCTAAAAACAGTTCTTTAGTCATGTCTTTCTTGTATAAGATGAGAGCAATAGCTTTTAGGTCTTCAAATTTCTGTTCGTTCGAATACGCTAACACATAAACAGAACTTTAATGTTTCATATACTATTTTAATTATAGGTACAGTAGCTGATTCAGTATGTTGTCAATATCTCTCCATCTCACTTTTTAATAAATTAGTGAGCTATTTTGTCCACAGAGTATAGTACACTCAACTTTGAGTGTGCAATATCAGTTTTTTTGGTTTCATATTTTAAATTCCTTGATTTAAAACTTGGAATTTATTTCTGGCAAGATACATGTGCGGCTTTTATGTTTCTGTTTGTGTACGACCATTCATATCTTACATTTTAGCGAGTTGACCATCTTTTAAATTTTTAATTATTTATTTATTTTTAGGTCGTGTTATTAGGGGCTCATACAACTCTTTTCACAATCCATACATATATCATTTGTGTCCAGCACATTTGTACATATGTTGCCATCATCATTCTCACCATCTTTTTAATTAACGCCTTCTGCATTCAGTTTCATTGACATACAGTTCACATAGTACACAATTCAGCAGTAACCGTGTTTAAAAGAGTTGTGCAATCAATTTTAGAACATTTTCTTCTTTATTGTGCTCACTATTCCCCATTTTCCCCAGTCTCCCCTGCCACAACCCCAAGAGACTATTAGTCCACGTATTGTTGTTTTAGATTTATCTATCCTGGGTTTCATATAAAGAAAAACAGATAAACACTTATTTTTTTATCCCAGTTTTACAAAATAGCTGGGAGAGGCAAGGACTTAAGGGACAATTAGGGTGGTAGAAAAATTAGAAAATTGGGACAATTAATGCACAAATGTGCTCTACACAATTGATGTATATATGGATTGTGATAAGAGTAGTATGAGCACCTATAAAACGATTAAAAATTTTTTTTATTAAAAAATAGTTTATTAACAGCAACAGATGTACAAATGTGCTTGACACATTGGATGTATATATGGATTACGATAAGAGTTGTATGAGCCCCCCAATAAAATGATTTTAAAAAAAAAGAAAAATTAGAAAATTGATAGTGGTCATAGTTGAAAAAACATAATGAATATAAGTGCCATTAAATTACACATTTAAAATGTAAAAGTCACTAATGTTTTGAGATATATGAATATATATATAAAATAAGTTTTTAAAAAAGAAGTTAAATACTAATACATGTTACAATATGGATGAACTTCAAAAACAAGACAAAGAAGTCACAAAAGATCACATGATTTCATGTATATAACATGTTCAGAATAGACAAGTCAGTAGAGACAGAAAACAGTGTGGGAGGCTGGGTTGACTAAAGAAACAAAACTAGTTACACTCATGTATGTGTAAGAAAGCTCTTATATCAAGAAGCTGTATATATCAGGAAAACATCCCAGCCCAGTCCAACTCAAGTCCCTATACTAGTCCCTCAGTCCTTCTTCATACTCACACAGTCACAAGCAATGATGCAGAATGCAAGAAGATCACAGGCAGGTGGGTGCAAAGTCTTGTGGATCCAGTGGCGGTGGATTCATCTCCAGGGCTCTGTCCCCCATCTGGGTCAACCAGCAAGAAGGTGAAGGTGGGGGGGTGGGGCGGGAGGAAAGTTCCCAGGACCCTCCTTATAAGAAGGTCATGCCTACAAGGAGGCACCATCAAGCTGTGACCTGATTGACAGGCCAGACTCCACCTCTACACTTTTATGTCTTCATTGTAAAAGGATGACATGAAACTGTGCAGCTACCACAATGGATTAGTGATTCCGTAAGGGAGGAAGAGGAGAAGGGGAGAATGGAAAATGATGGATAATAGGCCTGAAGTTTCTTTTTGGTGTGATTATACTAAAATTGATGGTCGCACATATTCTCTTAATTTTAAGAATACATACATTAAACACATGTGAGGGACATGTAGAAGAAACCAGAGCCCTGCTGGCACATTTGGCTGTTAACTTAAAGGTCAGTGGCTCAAACTCATTAGCTACTCCACAGGAAAAAGATGTAGCAAGCAGCTTCCATAGACTGGAAAACCCCATTTCTGTTCCATCCTATAGGGTCACTATGACTTGAAATCAATTGCACATCAGTGAGATAGAAGAAACATGAATGTGGCTATAAAGAAATGGAATTCCCAAGATCTCTACACCAGGCTAACCTTGAAAAACATAATGATATATCTACCTAAGATCTCTTTCTTTCAACAAAACTTATATATTCTATTGCCAACTAGACATCTCTATCTGAATGCCCCAAAGCATCTCAAATTCACTGCATAAAATTAAACTCAATATATTTCTACCTAAAGCAAAAGAAAGTGTTTATTTTTCCTACCTTGTGGTTCCTACCACAACCATTTACCAAATCTTAAACATGGGTTTTATCTTTGGCTCTCTCCTCTCTTCTTGGCCAATATCAACTTTTATTGGCTCTATCTTCTTCCTGTGTGTTTTGCTGCCTCCTTCCACTTGCCCCACAACTTATATCCAGTTGTGCCAAAAATGACTCCACATTGACCACACTCTTTCAAACTTCTGGCCCTTGGACATTCTGTTTTCCTACATGTGAAATACACTTAACTGTTCTCTCTATGATTACTTCCAGTTCTTTTTCAAAAATTGATTGTCTTAACCTTTCCTCCATCAATCCCCATCTCTAATATGGGTTAAGGGCCCCTCCTCCCTCTCCTGGGCCAGTCAGTTCCAAGTCACAGCGACCACATATGTGCACCAGGAGGTTTTCAGTGACTGCTTTTTCAGATGCCAGACCTTTCCTTCTGGGATTACTCAAAACTCCAATCTCTTGGTTAGCACGTAGGACCTAATGAATAGCTGGACCCTAGTTATGTTGTGGGGACCTGGCCATGTTGTGGGGTACAAATTTTGCTTCTAACTGCAAGGTCAGCAGTCTAAAACCATTAGCCATTTGGGGGCG